GGTAGGCATACACAAATAACCATAACCGATCCGTTATTTATCTGATGTTTCATTTTCATATTAGACTTTATTTTCGTATTTTCGTTCTATATTTTTTTTTGGCTCTATTTATGTTTAAATTTGACCCCTATGTCACAAAACCAGAAAGAAACCCTCCCTCGGTAGTAAACTATTTTTACAAGCTTATCAAAGTTTCTTCCAGGCACCGCCCCCCCCCCCCCCCCGAAGAGCGTCTACGCCCCCCCCCCCCAAACGAAATGGAATTTATACAGAAAGTATATACTTTTAGTGACGCCCCCCCCCCCCCCGGAAATTCTAGTCCGGCTCCCTACCCCCCGAAAATTTCAAGTCTCCCCCCCCCCCCCCCCCCCCCCGAGAAAAAAGTCTGGAAGAAACACTGACGCTTATTTCATCGAAAATCTTAACCCATTGCCGAAATCCTAACCCAAATCGTAAAATAACAATCGAACACTAAACCTAGCTGCAACCCTACTATCATCCTAACACACCTAGTGTTTTTCGGAAGAGTCCATTGTGAGACACTGCAAGTAAGAATTATCCCGATCAAGTTTTGCGTGTAGGCCTATTTGATCTCCAATGCTAAAACTGGTTACAGTTCACTCGTATATTCAACCAAACGGTTCCCAAACTGGGCAACCTCAATCAAAATTATCCTCAGCATGTACGTGCCTATTCGACCTAAAGGACCGTTTGTTACATGTTACGAACCTCTACTTCCCAATGTAACCGTAACAAATTGCTTGGTTCCACTCCTACAGCACAGCGAGGGCCAGGCATTTTCACGCAACTTTTACATAGGTGTTGTTTGTTTAGTGTCGTTTGTTTAGTAAGTGTTGTTGTACTCAGCATGAGGTGTTAAATACAGCGCACTGAAAGTTGGATCTTGTTTTCTAAATTTGTGGAAAGATTATCGCGTCTACTTGGCTATCGTATTACTTTGTTTATCGGAAGTTCAGTTTTAGTTATAAGGGTTTTATCTTTTTTCTAAGAGTTTGGCTTTGATTCATAATTGATAAATCGTTTTCTGAAAGGTTGGATTTCATTAATTCAATAGTTGCAATACTTGTTTTATATGATTTTTCGGTTGTAAAAAGTTAAACATTACTTAGTAATTGAAATATTTCTTAATCAAATAAAGTAACAACAATTCCAGGTTTTTGCAAACATTTCTAAAAATACATCAGTTCTCTAATATTACTTTAATTTATTTGAAATTAAAATACAATGCAGTGCTTTTCACTGGGATACAATTCGTCATTGTGTAGTACCCAATCTAAAAAGTAGCCTACTCTCTCAAACGTTGTTGGAAACTAAGTTTTTGTGTACAGTTTAATGAAATTCAACGAAAACATTTCTAATTCAAATGTAGTGCGCGTACGACAGTCTTTGGCTATCGCTGTTTATAAATTCTAATTATATCGCTTAGACCAGGGGTCTCCAAACTTTTCAGTCCGAGGGCCGCACCAACTATCAAATTTCAGTTCGGGGGCCAGTTTCTTCCAGGCATGTCTTTGATTTTTCTGGGCAAAGTTCCTCAGCCATCACCAACGAACGATTTTTCCTTGGACAAAAAGATCTCCGCGGGCCGGGTGAGAGAACTTCGACGGCCGCATCCGGCCCGCGGGCCGTAGTTTGGAGACCCCTGCCTTAGACCAACACACTGAAGCTGTATGTGTCATGATGACATCTGCACTGTTACGCACCATTAACCACACCAATGGTGTGTAGGCTACTTATCGTGAGCCCAGCTGTATCTTATGTGAGGGGTCTATAATATGTCTTTAGGCGACTTTAATGGTTACAGTTTTAAAACATCTATGTTTACAATATCTGACATTCACAGAATCCTATAAATTTAATTTATAAATCTATATTGATTTATCGAAGACTACGCTTAAATTATCGAACTCATTAAATTATGTAATTAACCTTAATTATATTGTTCTTTATATAACAAGGTAGGAATAAAGCTCTAGAAACAATGCCGATTTTATAAAAAAAAATGTATACTTTAGCGCAGTTTCAACGAAAGAACAAATTGCCCAGATGCAAACGGGATAAAAATAAAGCCGTATGATAATCAGATGTATTCATGTCCTATCACGTCATGGGCTTTATAGTCGGGTCTAGATCTTGAGTATAGGCTACTTTACATATGGGCAGGTTACTGTGTCTGGTTACTTAACCTGTGTAAGGTGACTTTACCTGTCTACCTGTGTCCATGATATTTTACATGTATTCAGAGATTTCTTTACCTGTGTCCATGATATTTCTCGAGTAACCAAATTATTTTACCTTAGTGCAGGCTATTTTATCTATCTCCTGTACAGTTGTCCAAATATAGGTTTCTGTACTTGTTTGTCGAGGTTACTTTACGAGTATACAGATTACTTTATCTGTGGCAGATGACTCTACCTGTCATATTACCTTACCTGTTTACAGATTACATGTCCAGGCTACGTAACATGTATCCAGGTTACTTCAACTATGTCAGGTTACTTTATCTTTCTCCTGGTTACTTGAACGGTGTCAGGTAACTAGACATGTGTAAGGTTACTAAAACCTATTTACAGGTTACTGTACTCGTGTCAGCTTACTTCACATGTGTTAGGTAACTTTACCTATCCACGTTACTTTATATGTGTTATATTACTTCTCCTGTGTCAGGTTACTTCACCTGTGTCCAGTTTACTTTACATGTTTTAATACTACTTTACCTGCCTCTGGAGTACTTTACCGTCATTCCGGTTACTTCACTTGCGTCAAGTTTACTAGTTATGTTATTGGAGAAACTAAAAAAATCCATCACAAATCTCCTCACCCACCACCTCCCCACCAAAACTTTCGAGTCGGCGATATTCATCTAACGAGTGGACGACTTGTGACAAAAGATGGGAAGGGATTCAGAGGCGTAGCGACCCTTCCTGGCGCCCGGGGACAAACTTTCAATTTGGCGCCACCCTTGGGAGAAAATTTCCGATTTGCACCCCCCTCCCTCAACTTTTTGATTTGCACCCCCCCCCCCACCCCTCAAACTTTCGATTTGCACCCCCCCCCACCGTCAAACTGAAAAATGCAGCTAAAATGACATTTTAATTTGTTTTTACAACCCATATGTCCCCCCTGCCCCCCTATCGCTACGCCTCTGAAGGGATTAAATCAGTGGCGTAGCGAGGTCGGGTGTCACCCGGTGCGGCACTTAATGGTGTCACCCCCCCCCCCCAGAGGCATAGAGACCCTTCCCAGGGACAAACCTTCAAATTTTCGATTTGCACCCCCCCCCCCCCTCAAACTTTCGATTTGCACCCCCCCCCTCGAGTTTTCGATTTGCACCCCCCCTCAAACTTTCGATTTGCACCCCCCCTCGAGTTTTTCTCTATATATTTTGCTATTTTTTGCCTTGGTGTCCCCCCCCCTAAATGGTGTCACCCGGTGCGGTCCGCACACCCCGCCCCCCCCCTCGCTACGCCCCTGGATTAAATAGATAGGCGGCGCTGTTCCCATTTAAAATCTAAAGAGCTCTGTTAATGACATAAATTGAGGGGCACATAATAACAAGGTCTCTATCTTGCTACTTAACGTTAATCATAACGTAATTTTAAAGTCCTTAACGCGGCTTGCATCTAACACGGAGATACAGTGGTTATGCTGTTAACTGATTTTGTAAAAATTAAAGGGATGCAATCACGCGGGCAACAAATCAGCAAGGGTAACTCTTGACTTTCAATACGAGTTACTCGTAGTAGATTAATAGAGTAAACTTGATCTTGTATAGATAGGCCGGCGTTAATTTTTTTTAGAGGAAAAGGATTAAATAAAAAATATTACGAAACTGTGGTTTAGTTTTAGTCGAATAATGCGTCATACATTAGCTCGAACTAAGTGATACATGTGTAATTAAAGAGATGTGATTCACAAGTTCTTGTGATATTTCATGAAGTTCGCTCAAGATTTAATTTTTTTGTTTACATAGATTGTGTTGTGAGTAGTGATCAAGGCAGTTTTTTTTGGGAATTCCCACTAAGTTTATTATTTGGATTCTGAACTTCAAGTTGAAAATTGCGTGTGTTGCTTACGTTTTTAAAAAAAAAAAACTTTCTGTTACTAAGGGTATAAGTTAAACTATTTAAATACACTGTTGTTGATACGATGTGAGTTAAACTGTTAAACCTGAAGTATAAACGAAGTGTGTTAGACTTGTAAAACTGTAAACATGGCTAAAAGAGAGGCTAAACTATTCACCATCGGACCGGGTAGCCTTCAGTACATCGACGAAGAAGTGGAACAAGAACGTTTAGAAGATTACTCTGAACACCTGTTAAGCCCCACCACATTAGGGAACTTTGACAAAGCCAGACTTGAAACCACGAAACTGGATAGCTGTAATAATTCGGTGACTTCGAGTCCTGATATTCTGGATGATTCTTCCACCTCCCTCTTGGGGAACGGCAGAAGCTCGTCCAAGAAACAATTTGTCACCTTCTCCGGGAAGAACTACAACACCCAAGGGGACACACGAGTCGCAGCGAACCCGGTAAAAAACAGGCTCGGTTATGAAAAAGTTCCGACCAATAACGGGTTTTCTAAAACCGGAAACGACAACCAACAAACTGGCAGAATTCCGGTTCGGGTGTTGGAATTTAAACCCAACCCAATCCAAAATTCACGGGAGAGTTACACAAACGCATTGCCAGATTATTTGACTAAACGTGTTGAAAATCGAACCAGTTTTGACTTGCCGGAAAAGAAATTTCTCGAAGTCCCGACGCTGGAGAGTGTTCTTGGAAAACGTGACTGTAGCATATCCGAGATAGAGGAACCACTACCAGACGATAAAAGCCAACCCGTTTTCCGGGATGTGGGTGGTAACAAAATGGACGATACTGTTGATACAATCATTCCCGTAGAGAAGTCAACCCCCACACAAAGCGAGGAACTACGGAACCTGCTGTCTCCAAGTTCTCCAGGCAAGAATTCCGACCTCGAGTTTCAGCTTCCTGTGCAGTGGAACCGCAGGTTGAGAGATCTCCATGGACGGAAGAGGTTTGACAGGTTGGCAGCTAAACAGAAACTAAAAGAGCTGATGCCGAAGGTTTGTCTCTTTTCCCCCCTTTTATTGGTATTATTTTTTATTACTTAACCCTTAACTACCTAAGATAGTTTTAAGGTGTGTTATATATTTAAAAAAAATATATTTTAAACTTACTAGTCTAAGAAATTAAATTATGTATATTAAAATCCCCATACTAGAAGATAAATTTAAATTTAAGTTTGTAAATTAAAATTACGGATTGGGTGGCCTATTGGTATAGAGCTAGACTGCTAACTCGAAAGTCTGAAGTTAGACTCCGGGTTCAAGTCAGTCCATATAGCTCTGATGGGTGTCTAATTAACGTTAGAGAAAACAAAGACGGCTGACCACACCATGCCATCTCACGCCGAGGTCACAGAAACAGATGAAATCTACTTATGTGTCTTGGGCATGAAGAAGAAAATATATTAAAATCCACATAAAAGATAAATATGATTTAAATTATACTTGGATGTGAAGAATAAAAAAAAGGTATCGATAACGAGAGTAGCGATTACGATTAAATTTATCGTTGTTTTTGAAGCTGCTTTGTGTGAGTACACGTTATATGCTAATGGTGACACGTTAGTTAAGAACATTGAAAAGATCCACTTAATGGTTCACTTAAAACCATTTCGTTCATTGAAATAAACGGAAAAAAAAATATGCTGATATAAAAAGTTCCCTTTCAAGAATCAGATCACATTTGATTAAAACTCACGCTTACGATATTCCCAAATCAGATCAACAAATTCATCAGTTACATCTAGATTGTAGCGATGGTCTACGTCACATAGCAAAACAAAAAAAAGATAGACACATAATCATCATGGTTACAATCTAGAGTAAGAGGGTATTCATACATTTTCTACATTGCATCTACAGCCACTAAAAATGAAATTAAAAAAAAAACCCATTTAAATACGAAACAGTGCTTTATTTGTTATTAATTCCCTGGCCCACTACACCACCCATACCTTGTTACGCCAATTAAGAAAGGAGAACAAGAAAGAATTTCAAACATGTATATAAAGGTTGTGAGATGTACGTCAAAATCTATCGCTTTGCATCACGCCTGTATATAGTTACAAAACTACAACTATCCCAGATATCTCTAGTGTGTAAGAGATAGACTATTCATCATAATCTGCTGAACGTCTTAAAGAACGACAATCCTTTAAGCCCTAATCCTGACCCGAAACCCAGACTTTGAAATCCGTAAGCCCCGGGCCATCAATTTCCACCACCGCAGGTTTTGTGAGGGTAATTTAAAACAAATTCCCACCTCCCGTAGACAACAAAGCGTTTTTATACCTTTGAAGGCCAAAGTTTACCTGTATTTTTTCTTTCTCTAGCCATATACTAACTGATCTAAACTAAACTTGTTAACACGGTATATTAGATTAATTTACCACTCGAGTGTCTGTAAAAAAAAAAAAAACTGTATTATATTCTTTGGCCGCCTGTGTATTCAAAAGGGACACGAATCTAGTCGACCACTTGAAAACTACGTCATTTGTGAATTTGCTGGACTTATTTTTGCATTTTTTTCTATTATCTCCCTTTGATCAGAATGATTGATTGTGGTAGAGCTATGAATAGTGTGCTGTCAAAATTTTGGGGCTGATTTGGCCAGTATTGAAATTATGAAACGAACGTGATTTTTATAATTTGTAATACAGAAGTAGCAGATATGTTGTAGTACAGCTCAATAAATATTACAGCCATTATTATATTTGCGTATTTTTCTGAAAAACAATTATAAAATAAACCGGTAGTGATCTCCCCTAAACTTTCTCGAATATTCTTATATAAAACAACAGGGGATGGTAACTGGGGATATAGTTATGATTTTTAATCCATTTTAAATACTTAAACTTTTAAAAATAGAATAGAATCTCATAAAAAAAACATTGCGCACCAAGCAAACGCCGAATAAAAACGCGTATAATAGTGCGCAATATTATTAGTACTTTAAAAATTTACATTAGTTTTTTGAGAAATCGGAAGTAGCGTAAATTACTACTTCCAGTCAACGGAAATTACTCAAAATTTAACAGAAGGTAGAGAATTAGATCTTTTACTTACATGTGAAATTTCATTTATCTATCTGAAATAGTACTCAAGTTATAGGCTTTTGAAAAATTCAAAGTAGGAAAAGTACCACTTCCGGTTATCGGAAATCGCTCAAAAGTTGATACGGATCTACGATTTTGATAAAATACTTATATATGAAATTTCATCAACCTAGCTGTAACGGTACTCAAGTTATCGTGTTTACACACGGACAGACAGACACACAGACACACACACACACAGACATACGGACAAGATTGCAAAATTATGTTTTTCCGTATCAGTGAGGTGTAAAACGTCGAGATTTGTAAAAATCTCGATTTTTTTTTTTTGCACGATTACAATACTTTTTCTATACTACGTATATACGAGAAAGTAAAAATAATTGGATAGAATAAAAATACTACTTGTTAAAATCATGAAGGGATAATAAGTTTTTGAAGTAAAAGAAAATGAATAATTGCTTTTGAAATTGATAATTTTTTCAACATTTTATGTGGTTTAGCTGGTCTCATCTACGCCAATGGTATATTTTAACAACACTATTTACATACAGACTATCAATAATAGCTACATACACCCTCAGAAACATTCTTATAAACTTTCTTATATACCCTCATACACACCCTCATACACACAACATACCCTATAGATAATCCCTACAGACACCCCCGTACATACCTCATAAAAACCTCATACACACCATCATACACCGTTTTGCACACCATCATACACACAATCATACACACCCTTAAACACACCCTCATACACACCCTCATACACACCCTTATACACACCCTTATACACACCCTCATACACACCCTTATACACAACATCTTACACACCCTCACACACACCCTTATAAACACCATCGTACACACCATCATACACACCCTTATACACATCATCATACACACCCTTATACACACCCTTATACACACCATCATACACACCATTATACACATCATCATACACACCCTTATACACATCATCATACACACCCTTATACACACCCTTATACACACCCTTATACACACCCTTATACACACCATCATACACACCCTCATACACACCCTTATACACACCCCATACACACCGTCATACACACCATCACACACACCATCACACACACCCTTATACACACCCCATACACACCATCTTAAACACCCTTATACACACCCTCAAACACACCATCATAATGCACCATACCCACTCTTTAACAGACCTTTCAAATTATTTGAAGGTTATCCGGATTTATAAATACTCTAAAAATCCCTTATTTTTTTTATGGACAAAATCACTACTAAATAAACTAACAATCTGTTGTGGACGGGCCTTTTCATCCGCCATTGCTGCGAAACAAATATAAAAACACACCCGAAATGTAAAATAACTCTTGCGTTCGCCAGAGCTAAAAAGAATTAAATAGATTATTTCCCTTGACATAGCTGCTTTATAAAACACCTTGGCAGCTGATTAATTTCTCTGTATGCTTCTTTCGTGTATCTGATCTGGAAAGATTAGTAAGTCATAAGGTTTTTATACACAGCTTTATTAAGTGCAAAAATAACCCCACGAATATCATTTATGCTGTTTAAAACACAATTTCAACGAATACATTTCAACTTTTCAAGATGCAAGATAGACGCGGTCTTAGATTTTAGATATATTTTAGTTGAGTCGTTTTTACTACACTAATTTACATGTACACACCTATTCTATATGAGCACTATTTGTTTCTATACATTTTTCAATAGCTTGTTTACACCTATCAATAATCTTTGTACACACTTATTGTCGGTGGAAATTTAATTCATTTTTGCCAAAGATTTTGTTGAGTACCTAGAGTACCAAGGGAAGCAACATTTTTTTTAAAGGAAGTAGTATTTTCCTAATTACGTCCCTTGATTCCATTTTTTTCATTTAAAAATAAAGGGACTAAAATAATACAGTTCATAGACAAAGAGTTACAAAGAATTGCGAATAAGTTTTAAATTTTTTTTAAACATGGTACTGTGTTATCCCTATTACTATTATGGTATACAAAAAGGACTAGATTTACTTTTAATTGGTTGAGGTTCTCACTTAAAATTTCCGTGGGTGGGGTAGGAGTGGGGACAGACACTGGCTTAGGTATATATTTTTTTTCTATAAATTATATATTTTTTCGTCTTATGCGGGAGAATGGGGGTGTGGTTGGGTAGGGCGGTGAACGTGGGGATGGGTGAGGGTGGGGATGGAGGAGAGTGAGAGGGAATGTGCCCACAAAAGAGATGCCTGAAAGAAACTGTTCAATAATATTTAATTAACTAATAGCAACCTAACACTCTTCTTAAAGAAGATTCCATTACTGTGGCATTATATTTACACTGGTACCTTCAGTATTTCTTTCATGCATCTATTCTTTGGGGAGGGGAGATATGCCCCTCATCTCACGAAGCACGTCTACCCCCCCCCCCCCCAATTCCCTAACGCAAAAGAATTTAGATAGAAATTAAATACTTGTTACCAGTGTCCGCCTACACCAGGGGTCGGCAACCTTTTGAAGCGGAAGAGCCAAAAGTTACAATTTTCAAAATTTCCCTGGTTTTAAAGAGCCACTAACATTTTTTTTATTTCAAATATTTAATTTTTTTATTAAGATTATTAGTATTTGTTCAAGGAGCTTGAGAGCCGCATCTTGATATCAAAAGAGCCGCATGCGGCTCGCGAGCCGCAGGTTGCCGACCCCTGGCCTACACCATTAAATTTAGTCCGACCCCAACTCCTGAAATTCCAAAATTTTTAGTGTCCCCCTTTCCTATTACACACCTCATACACACCATCATGCACACCCTCATACACACCCTCATACACACAATCACACACACCCTCACACACACCCTCAAACACAATCATACACACCTCATATACATCCTCATACACACAATCATACACACCCTCAT